ATTCGGAGTTTGATTCAAGTTCTCAATTGTCAGACATCATACCATTTACAACTGCTGATCGAAGTGCTGTTGTGCGACTGACTACAAAAATGGGCAAAGGTTTCCTAAGGAACCGCGAAAATCTGCGCGTAAGGATTGAGCAAAAATGAACGCCGGGAACTGTATTACATCTTCTTCCTCTTTTTCTTCTTGTTATTCTTCTGGTTCTCCTCCTTGTTGTTGTTGTTGTTGTTCTTCAAGACCGTTCCGACGTATCGACACCAATACAGCGATTTCTTCTTGCGACGTTGGGAAAATGACGGACTCCGATGTGTCCACCCAAGATGCAGCAACAAATACATCAGTGAACATGGTTTGCGCATCGACGATCACAGAGCTGGCTATTCGACTTCGAATCCGTGAAGCTATTGGATTATATTCGTCAACAATCAACGCTTGCATAAATTTATTAAATCAAACCTCTCGTCAGACTGTGACGGACGGAATCATCGCCAACTACACACCAGATCGGATTGCAATTGAATCTCGTTGGTGGAATTTTTGTTATCATTGTGAATTATTGTTTCAATGTGTTCTGTTTGAGGAACTACTTCATTGAATTGTGTGAATTGAAGTTGTTGTCGGTTTTGTTTATTGTAGGTATATTTCCAGGTTATTGTTTGTTGTTTTCTTGTTTGTTATTGTTCGTAACTAATAAAACTCATCGTCGCACTACGATCCTGTCGCAGTCTCTCACATACCCCAACATTACAGTATTTCAAGAACCGGAAATAAATTATTTTTGCTGTGAAATTCACGACAGCTCTAAATCCGAGCCCCTTTCGCAAGTGCAGAATTTACCAAGCACATTACGTGATGTTATTATGAGGTTCGTTCCTTATCCACACCTCTCACTGGTAAGCCGAAAACAAATGAGACACGAAAACAACTACACAGCTCCATGCATTGACGTAAGTCGCAGGAGCTGCTGCAAAGAAGCCAAAGCCAAAATTTTTCACCACCTAAAAGTATATTCACTTATAACGTAGTCGCCATCACACTCCAATTCAACCAATCATCTGTAACATCTTCAGATGGCTGCCTGGGTACCAGACCATACGCGTACTGTAAAAATTGCATGTGGTGTGCGGATTACGAATCATTTACTAAATTGTATTTATCACGACACTAAAAGTATTCAAAACAATATCATACTACAATCGTAAAAACGCATACACCGACGTACAACGACTTGAATCACGACACTGTCACAGATAAAGTGGAAGTTAAAAAGTACTCTATCTATTCTTCGCATCATGGTCATCAATGTAAGCCGCTTGAAAAAATTTCGTGATGCGCTTGACTGTGACATTGAACGTATTCGCTGACAACGTGACAGCCTGCAACAAGTCGCTCACATTGCACAGTTTTGATGAAAATAACATCCTCAATCAACTCTGAATTGATCATCGAACCTCGTGAAATGATTTTACCAACCTAATTAACAATCGGAGTTACTCT